ATTTCTTTTAAGCATGTACTATATATTAGCTACAGGATATACAGAGCACCCAAGCAAAACAAAGCACTTGTCTTCATAGAGTTTATGTCCTACTGAGGGCTGTAGGCAGATTGCAAGGAAGGAAAAATATATTAAGAACTTTGAATGCTGGGCTAAAAAATGAGGCAGGAAAAGGAGATACAGCATGATGGTTTCAGCTGGTCTTTGCGAGTTACTTGGACTGTCTCCACGTCTTGGTTACTGTAGACAGTGTTGCTGGGAAGCACCCTAAAAGTCTTCGGGGATTTTTCTTTGAGGATGTTTTTGCAGAATGTTTTTGTGTATTTTTTTTTTTTTAATTTGCTATAGGATGAGCACATCCACTGGAGAGAAAGAGAGAGACTGAGAAAGCAGACCTGGCGGGATGACCACGCCGAACTTTCTCCTTCATTCTCCTCTCAGAATTTGAGGCCCACACTTACACGTCCCCAGCATGTTTTCACTGGGTTCAGGACTGGAACCACATCGATGGGCATGTGGGATCCAGCTGCCTTAACCACCACACCACCAGCTGGCCCAAGGGATTTTTTTTTTAATGATTTCTGGTTCACATATATTTGATATATATATTCGTGGGGTACAGTATGGTCTTATTAAGCATAAATACATTGTATAATATAATAATCAACCTTTCTGGCACCAGGGACCAGTTGCCCTGTGGGGGATGGTTTGGGGAGGATTCCAGGGCCTCCCGTTTATTGTGCCCATGCTTCCTGTCACCATTCCATTGTGACAGATCTGCAGCCACTCCCTAGCACCCCGCAGCGTGATGTGCAGCTGCACCCGGGGCTAGCATCGTGGCCTCAGCTCCGCCCAGGTCTTCGGGCACTGGATTCTCCAAAGGAGCGCAGCCCAGATCCCTTGCGTGTGCAGTGCAAACCTTGCACTTCTGTAAAGCTCTGCCTGGTTCCTAATGGGCGGCAGGGGAGACCCTTGGTATAGTGGTTAAAGGAACTGGATCTCACATGAATGACCATGGTTTGAATCCCAGTTGTGGTGGCTTGTAAAATATGCTGAGTGCATGGGTATGCGTGCCCGGAACCGGCATGGTGGAGAAATAGAGGAGGTTGATGATGTGGCCATGCCCCATTGTGGATGTTTTCTCTCTCTGTGTCTCTCTCTTTTCTGTGAGTTCATGCATCGCTTGGCAATTAAAAAAATTAAGTAGCAGGGAGAACAGTGCCTTCCAGAACCACAGGTTCCACATCCATAGCCGTCAGGCCCGGGGAGCCCTCTTCTGTGGGAGTGCTCACAGCTAGAGCAGACCCATCACCTGAGGGAGTTGTCAGCAAAGTCACCCCTAGCACCCACGCCAAGCTCCTGCCTACAGAGACTGTCTGTTTCTGAGACAGCCACCAAGCGGGCCCAGGCCACCAGGAGATGCCTGCTGCACGTGCCCTACGGAGATGGTGACGGGGAGAAGGTGGACATCTATTTCCCTGACAAGGCCTCTGAAGGTAGGCCGAGGGCCGGCGGCTGGTGGCCCGAGGCAGTTCTGCAGCCGGCCTCGTCCACTCACCTCTCCTCTCATTCTGCAGCTTTGCCTTTCTTCGTGTTCTTCCATGGAGGGTACTGGCAGAGTGGGAGGTGAGTGGGGAGCCTGGGGGGCCCATCCTGCCCTGACCATTCCTAGGGCTACTGGGGCACAGCAGTCCGCAGCCAGGCCAGTGACTTATGGCCACTGACGCGTATCCTCCCAGCCTCTGGAGGCCAGAAGTCCAGAATCGGCGTCAGGGGGCCTTGCTGTCTCAGAAAGCTCTGGGAGAGGCCCCTGCTTTGGCTCTTCTGGGGGCTCTGGGCACACTCCGTGGCTCGTGGCTACCTCTCCCTGGGCTCCTGCTTCACGATACTGCCCTGCCCCTGTCTTACAAGGACACCAGTCACTACATTTAGGGCCCACCCTCATCCAGCCTGATCTCATCTTGGGGTCTATAGGGCATCTGTGCTCACTGGGGAGGCAGAGAGAGGGGAAAGTGAGGAGGCAGCCCTTGGGGGATGGCTGCACTGCAGTCCTGCACTCTCCTCCTTGGATTTTGGGAATGCATGCACACGTGCCTGGCATGGTTTTCAAGCCACCGGGTCTGAGACATAAATCGTGCAGTCGGCCATGTGGGATCCAGCACCTTAAGCTCTACGCCACCTGGCTGGCCCTCTTTTTTGGTCTTTTTAATTTTTTTAATGTATTTCTTCTGTGAGAGAGAGACAGACAGCACCCTCAGCAGGAGCTGGCAGCCTGTCACTGGCACGCGTGTACCCAGTGTTCCAGGGAGGTCTCCAAGGGCAGACCAGAGCCCTCCCTGCGGTCAGCTTTGCAGAGCGTGGTGCAGTTCTCCCACCCACCACCATCCGGCCCTGCATCTAGACTCTCAGTTCCATCAGCAAAGACCCTATTTCCAATAAGACCCCCCCCACAGGTTCTGGGGCTTAGGATACAAGCATATCTACATGGACATTGTACCCTGTGTCCCCCATCCCCAGGGAGGATGGCCACACTGCCATCTCATCTCCTGGGATTCTGGGCACACACGCACATGCACCCGGTGTGGTTTTCAAGCCTCTGGGTCTGGGACTCAAACCGTGGTCGAGTTCAGCACTTTAACCACCACACCACCTGCCGGCCCCTTAGTGGCCACATTCATTGCGCCCAAAATCCTCTCCCTTTTGGTCTTCAGTTCTCAAAAACAGCTCCCCACGAGAGGTCGTGACCTGTGCTACCGACGGGAAACAGGCCTCGAGGTTAAGCTAGCCCCAGGTTCCCGACTGGCACGTGAAGTGGCAAGCACGGGACCTGCCCTCTCCCCTCTGCCCTGCAGGCCACAGGCGAGGCTCTGTGTGGTCAGCGCATCTGGCAGGCGCTGTGTCCAGGCCCCGGGGCAGCAGTGACCGAGGTGCCTCTAGTCGTCTCATCTTTCTCTCTCTGCAGTAAGGATGAGTCTGCGTTCATGGTCAACCCACTGACCGCACGGGGCGTGGCTGTGGTGATAGTGGCTTATGACATCGCCCCCAAAGGTAACTTGGGTGTTGCTGCAGGTGCAAGGCCTGCGGGCTTCGGGCAAAGCGTTCCCGGACTGACCCTGTGCTCCGTGCAGGCACCCTGGACCAGATGGTAGACCAGGCGACCCGGAGCGTGGCCTTCGTCCAGAAGCAGTACCCGTGCAATGAGTGTGTGTCACTGCAGGTTGTCCTCTTGGGCTGCGCTGGGTGGGAGGACAGCGGGGAGGCCCCTCGGCCTGTGGAGCTCAAGGTGGACTGGGACTCACTGGTACTGGCCTGATTCTTGGGAGAACTGGTGCAAATCTGCTCTCTGCTCTGACCATCCAGGGGGATTTACCTGTGTGGACACTCAGCGGGCGCCCAGCTGGCTGCCATGATGCTCCTGGCCGACTGGACCAAGCTCGGAGTCACGCCCAAGCTCAGAGGTTTCCGTGGGGCCTGTGCCTGGCGGGCAGTGTTCCACTCCCCCGCCATGGGCCTGTGGGTTTGGACCTGGTGTTAGCAGCTGACCTGGTGGGCCGTGAGCCCAGCGAGCAGACCTCAGGCTTCCTCGCTGCCCCGTACCCGGCCTTGCCCCCACAGCACCAGAGGCTGGGCTGGTCCGACCTCCCTGGAGATCTGAGGCTGGGCTAGTCCGACCTCCTCCCAGAGCCCGGCTGTGATCGTTCTCCCCTCATAGGCTGTTTTCTGGTGAGCGGAGTCTACGACCTGGAGCCCGTCATGCACACCTCTCAGAACACCCCTCTCCACATGACGCTGTGAGTCGCCTGCCCTCCCCCTGCCACCTAGCGCCTGGCTTCTCTCTGCCTGACCCCACTGTCCTGCCCCAGGGAGGACGCTCGGAGGAACAGCCCGCAGCTGCACCTGAGGCGGCCCGCAGACGCGGCCTGCCCGGTGCTGCTGGTCGTGGGCCAGCACGACTCTCCTGAGTTCCGCCGGCAGTCCAGGGCGTTCCATCAGGTACCCAGCCAGCCTCCAGCTCGGCCAGGGGCCGCGGGTCTGCCATCTCCTGTGTCTCCCTCTGTCTCCCTGGTGCATCCCCAGACTGCCAGTCATGGATTCTGGAAACCCTGAGTGCCCTGGAGGTGCTGGGCAGGGGTAGGACAGGGTCCCCACTCCTCTCCCTCGCCTCCTCCCAGGCACTGTGCAGGACCGGGTGGAGAGCCTCCTTTGAAGAACTCCACGATGTGGACCATTTTGAGATCGTTGAGAATCTAACCCAGGAGGACGACGTGCTCACCCAGGTGGGCCTCACCCCTTGCCAGCTGCCACAGCCCCTTCATGCTGCAGCCCTTGAAACTTAAAGAGAGTCGGGCAGGTGGGGTGCACAGAGGAGCCGCCCTCGCCCCGGTCATTGGCATCCACGAGGGCAGGGACCCCGAGTGCTGAGAAGGACTCAGTGGCACGCTTGCTTCCTGTGCTTCGCCTTCCTGCAAACAGCCCTGGGCCATCTGTGGACGAGTCTGGGCCCAGGCAGGCAGGCGAGACCCGTAGGGGGCCACAGTGTCAGTGCAGGGAGGTGTTGGGGGGGGACAGCACTGGCCTGTCTGTGTCCAGGCATAAACACCGAAGCCAGCTCTGTCAGGAAAACTGCGTAGACTGACTCTGACTTTAACGCAGAGACACCGGAACACTTGAAGTGGAAACCGCGAAGGCCGTGCCATTGACCTGGTAGATGAGAGGCTTTATACTCCTTCTTTTCTTTTTTTGTTTTTCGTTTTGCTAGAAGGTGCATGTATATCCTGGGAGAGGCAGAGAGAGAGACAGAGGGCAAGTGAGAAAGCACCCCGGGAGGGGGAACCACGTTGCAGCTCCTTGTCCTCCATCCTCCTCTTGGGGTTTTGGGCATGCACACACATGCGGCTGGCGTGTTTGTTCGTTTTTTATCATCCCTAAGACAAAATGAAAAGTGTTATTGACTAGAAAATGAAGGGGAGCGATGGCGGGGTAGGTTTCCGTTCCAGCCAGCAGGATAGCGGCCGTCAGGAGGGAAGAAGCTCAGTCAGTGCTCTGGACATGTTGCATGATGATATTCAGGCAGTGGGTTTTGTCGGAAATGCGGATCCAGAGCGGGGAGACATACATTGAGGAAGCAGCCACAAACGGGCCTGGGAGGGCTAGACGATGGTGCGATTGTTGAGGGGGCTGGATCCCACATGGCCAGCTGCCTGGTTCGTGTCTCTGACCCAGCAGCTTGGAAAATGTCTGTGCATGCCCCAAATCCATGGCCATTCCCCTGAGGGGTGCATTCTCACTTTATTCTCTGGCAAGCAAACACACCCTAGTAGGGGGAAGCTTGGGAACAAATGAAGACTGTTTGAGAAGAACATAGAGAATCATTTTAAGGGGGAGGGGAGATGCAGCAGTATTTAGCAGGTAACTGTGAGGAAAAGTGCGCCCCTCTTCCAGTGCACTGCCCCCCACGCAGTGCACGTGCCCTCTGGCAAATTAAAAAGAAATCATGCAGAACAGTACGGAGGGCATTGCCGTCTGAGATGATAAGATTACGTGTGTGTCTACTCAGGTGACATTCTTAATTCCCTTTGTTCCCGCTGCATCCTTTAGGCCGAACTTGATGCATAAATAAAGGTCCATACGCCCTTCTCTCTTTCCTTTGAGACGTGGTCTTGCTAAGTTGCTGAGGCTGGCCTCAACCTCCCGGGTCTTGGACTACAGCCATGCACCCCTGATCCCGGCTTCTGCCCTCCCTGCATTCTCCTCTTCTGTGAAAGGCATTACTGTCTAGTCTCAAGCCAGACCTCCTCCAGCAGCCCCCCACCCCTACTCATCAAGTGTCAGACATCTTCCTGAATCTCGAATTGTTCTCTTCTCCATCAGCGTTCCGCTCTGCAAGGCCCTTTCTCCCGAAATCTGGTGCATGAGGTGGTTGTTTCCCTGCGGGTTCCGGCCCGCGGCGCCGGCTCCACGACTGTGCTTCTGTAGCTCTCGTACCACGGTCATAGTCTTATTCGAAGTAGCACAGATACGGCTCGTAGTCTCTTTCTGTTCAACAGCAACAGGTTTAACACAGCACACCAAGTTCGATACCAAGAATTTACCGCCGACGATTCCTTTAAGAGCGTAACTGGATTTTTCATCAGTTCCAGCTTATCAGCCTCCGCCTCCATGTTGAATAGTTGACATTCCTCAGACCTTGGTGGTGCTTAGGCCCCCCTGCTTGTGTGTTTTTCAGGCTGCTGGATCTGGGACTCAAACCAGTCGGCCATGTGGGATCCAGCTGCCTTAACCTCCACACTACCTGCTGGCCCTCAATAAGGTTTTGTTTTGTTTTTGTTGTTTTGTTTGTTTTCTGGTATAGGGCTCATGTGCTCACCAGAGAGTGAGAAATCACCTGTCCCCCGTGGGGGGAGGTGGTCATGGCGCAGCCCCTTCCCCACTCTTCTCTCAGGATCTTGGGCACATGCGCCCATGCATCCAGTATTGTTTTCAAGCCACCAGTCTGGGATTTGAACTGCAGTCAGCCATGTGGGATCGAGCACCTTAACCTCCATGCGACCTGTTGGCCCTCGAAAGGGATTTTATAGCACTCGGTTTTTGATTTTTTAAAATTGATTAATTTATTTCTCCATGAGTGAGAGGCAGAGAAATGGCACCCCACCGGCCCTTGGCTCTGTGATCCACCTCCAGTTCTGACCAGTCTTGTATTATGGGCACACGTGTACCCCGCATATTCTGGGAAGTCTTCAGATACGAACCCAGACCTGTGCGTCCGAGTCAGCCTTGCCCCGACCCTCCCTCCAGTCCTCCAGCCTGGGGTCCCTGGGCCCTCGTACACCTGCCCAATGTGTTACAGGCTGACGGGCCGGGGATTCAAACTGCCGTCGCCACGTGGGATCTGGCTTCCCTCGAGCAGTGTATTTCTGTTGCACCTGGAGCTAGCCCAGGAGACTTTCACATCGATAAGAACAGTCTTTTTTCCTCTTTAAGAATAGAAATAAATGGGAGGGACCAGCAGTTAGCGTAATGGCTATGTCACTGGACTCCCACGTAGTCGACCATGGTTCGCGTCCCGGACCCGGGGGCTTAAAACTCACACTGGGCACGTGTGCGTGGGTGCCCAAGATCCCGGGAGGAGAACGGAGGAGAAGGGATTGCAGCGTGGCCATCCCCCCTGGGGGGGTGATTTCTTACTTTCTATCTCTCTATCAAGCGCACGCGCCTTATAGTAAAAAAAAAAAAAAAAAACTAAAAAAAAAAAAAGAAAACAAAGCCCACCCGCCCATTAAAAAAAAAAAAAAAAAAAAAACTAAAAAAAAAAAAAGAATAGAAATAAATGGGGGAAATGCACAAAGAATAAGAGACAAATGTAAAAGAAACGTAAATAGAGTAAACATGGGGAGAAGTTAAACTGCATGAAAAACGTAACTGCAAGTGAGATCCAGGCCAGCCCATGGTGTCGTGGTCAGGGCGGCCGGATCCCGCTGGCTGCCTGTGCCGTTGGAGTCCTGAACCCGGCGGCCTGAAACCTGCGAGGGGAGCGTGCATGCGTGCCCAGCATTCCAACAGGAGAGAGATGGAGAAGGGACTGCGGTGTGACCATTCCCAAGGCGGGGGAGGGGGAGCTGCTCTCTCTCTTTCCC